TAAGTCCACGGATGGTAGTTTTAGCAGAAGCATTGCATGCAGGGAAGGCGAATCCATATCCAGAATAAATGTCTATTCCAGTAAGAACAAAATGCTGTTCTTTCCATGATGGAAGTGGTCCAATAATGTAATCAATCTGCCACCAGGTTGCTGGCTGATCACCCCGAGGAATGGTACCATATCAGCGGACTCAGTGTTGGTCTCTGCTGTTAGCAGATTGGGCACTAAGCAGTAGCCAAATCAGCCTTGGTAAGCGGGAGTCCATGTTGCTGAGCCCATGCATAACCTCATCCCTGCCACCATGGCCACTTTGTTCATGAGTCCATTAAGCAATGACAGGAGTAGCTGGGGAGAAAGGACAGCTGGTTTCCACTGAACGTGTCATCCTATCCACCTGACTGTTAAAGTCCTCCTCTGCCAAGGTCACCTTTTGGTGGGCATTCAAATGAGACAGAAAAACTTTACTCCTTTGGCCCATTCAGAAAGATGTATCCACATACCTCTTCCCCACACATCGTTATCACCAATTGTCCAATCATGCTCCTTCCAAGTCTCAGACCATCCAGCTAAGCTGTTAGCCACAGCCCATGAATTCATATATAATCGCACATCTCGCCATTTCTTATTCCATGCAAAGTGAATAGCCATATGCACGGTTCGAAGTTCTGCCCATTGGGAGGATTTCCCTTCACCACTGTCCTTCAAGGAAGTCCCAGAAAGAGGCTGCAGTGCCGCTGCTGTCCACTTTTGAGTGGTGCCTGCATATTGCGCAGAACCATCTGTAAACCAGGCACAAGTTTTCTCTTCTTCAGGCAACTGATCATAAGGAACTCCCCATGAGGCCACAGGTGCAGACAGGGAGAGGGAAGGTAATGTGACTGGAGTGGAGATCATAGGCATTTGGGCCACTTCCTCACGCAATTTACTTGTGCCTTCAGGTCCTGCTCAAGCCCAATCTCTGATATACTACTTCCATTTAATGATGGAGTGCTGCTGTGCACATCCAACTTTATGACTCTGTGGGTCAGACAACACCCAGTTCATGATGGGCAGCTCAGGCCTCATGGTGACTTGGTAGCCCATGGTTAGGTGTTCAGCCTCTACTAAAGCCCAGTAACAAGCTAAAAGCTGTTTCTCAAAAGGAGGGTAGTTATCTGCAGAGGATGGCAGGGCTTTGCTCCAAAACCCAAGGGTCTGCGTTGCGATTCACCAACAGGGACCTGCCAAAGGCTCCAAACAGCATCTCTATCTATTACAGACACTTCAAGCACCACTGGCTCAGCCAGATCTTACGGCCCAAGTGGCAGAGCAGCCTGCACGGCAGCATGAACCTGTTGCAGAGCCTTCTGTTGCTTTGGGCCCCACTCAAAACTAGCAGCTTTCCGAGTTACTTGATAAATAGGCCGCAGCAACACACCCAAATGAGGGATATATTGCCTCCAAAATCCAAAGAGGCTCACCAGACGTTGTGCCTCCTTTTTAGTTGTGGAGGAAGCCAGATACAATAACTTACCCTTCACTTTAGTAGGAATATCTCGACATGGCCCACACCATTGGACCCCTAGAAATTTCACTGAGGTGGAAGGTGCCTGAATTTTTGTTGGGTTAATTTCCCAACCTCTAGTACGCATATGTCTCATCAATAAGTCTAGAGTCATCGATACTTCTTCTTTACTGGTCCAATCAGCATGACATCAATATAATGGACCAGTGTGATGTCTTGTGGAAGCGAAAGGCAATCAAGATCCCTATGGACTAAATTATGACAGTGCTGGGGAGTTGATATACACCTGAGGAACGACTGTAAAAGTATACGTTGGCCTTGCCAGCTGAAGGCAAACTGCTTCTGATGGTCTTTTGAAATTGGTATTGAGAAAAAGGCATTGGCCAGATCAATAGCTGCATAGCAAATACCAGGAGATGTACTAATTTGCTCAAGCAATGAAACCACATCAGGAACAGCAGCTGCAGTTGAAGTCACCACCTGATTAAGTTTATAATAATCTACTGTCATTCTCCAAGATCCATCTGTTTTTTGCACAGGCCAAATAGGTGAATTAAATGGGGATGTGGTGGGAATCACCACCCCTGCATCCTTCAAGTCCTTGATGGTGGCAGTAATCTCTGCAACCCCACCAGGGATGAGGTCCTTTTGGTTTACTATTTTTGTAGGTAGAGGCAGTTCTAATGACTTCCACTTGGCTTTTCCTACCATAATAGCCCTTACTCCACATGTCAGGGAGCCAATGCAGGAATTCTGCCAATTGCTGAGTATATCTATTCCAATTATGCATTCTGGCACTGGGGAAATCACTACAGGATGGGTTTGGGGACCCACTGGATCCACTGTGAGACGTTTCTTAGCTAAGACTCCATCAATAACTTGACCTCCATATGCCCCCACTCTGACTGGTGGGCCACAATGATGCTTTGGGTCTCCTGGAATTAGTGTCAATTCAGAGCCAGTGTCCAGTAATCCCCAAAAAGTCTGATTATTTCTTTTTCCCCAATGAACAGTCACTCTCGTAAAAGGCCTCAGATCCCTTTGGGGAAAGCTAGGAGAAAGACTGACATTATAGATTTTTGGCAATGTAGTGGGGTCCTTCCTCAAAGGGACCTGGCCTCCCCTTCATTCAAGGGGTTGTGGGTCTGTAAACTGACTCAAGTCTGGGAATTGATCGAGAGGTCATGACTCTGTATTCTGGCAATTCAATCTATGTTGCTGTTCACATGACCTAGAATTCTTCTGTCTATACAGATCAAGTAAATATTTAGTAGGCTTGCCATGTATTTCACTACTAGGAACACCATGAGCAAGTAGCCAATGCCATAATTCCACATGTGTCAGACTATTCTGATTAGTGTTCTGACTCTGCTGTCCATTACAGTAACCACGCCCACCTTGCCTTTGTTGATTAACTGCTGCCACTTGGCCCCTACTACCATGGGGTCCAATCAGTCCCATCGCAGTTAAGTGCCAGTAAAGCTTAGAGAGAGAGAGAGAGAGAGAGAGAGAGAGAGAGAGAGAAATTTATCTTAGGAAAATGGCTCACACACTTATAGAACCTGGCAAGTCCAAAGTTCCTGGATCAAACGGCAAGCTGGAGGCTTTTCCTCGCTCTTGCAACCACAGGGGCTGAGGAGCTCAAGGCTGGCAGGCAGTACACCGGCTGTTGACTACAACGAATGATGAATCCAAGATCTCCAGGCCGAATGGTAGACTGTTCACTCATGTAAGCAGCACAACAGAATCCCGATCCACAGAAGAATGTCTCTCTTCCCAGGATGTCCTTGGATATACTGGAAGCAGGCCACACCCTTAGGGAAACTCCCCTTCAACAGACTGGCCACTCAGAACATAGTCATCTGATCCCATCATGGGAACAACCACACCACAACAGCTCAAACCACACAGAATTGTGGTCCTGCCAAGTTGACACACATCTCCAACTATCACACCATTTAAGCTGTCTCTCTAAATTTCCCTATAACTGCCTCTAGCACTCAAAACTTACATTCCCCTAATTCTAAACTTCAAACCAAAATGCAAACTGTACCCAGTTCCTTTTCTATTTATGGAAATGATTTTGACTCCCCCTTAAGCTTTTTAAAATCATGTAGTAACAATGGTTTTCAAACTGTATTCCAAGAAATCTAGTTAATAATGTGGTTTGGGGGTGAAGGAAGAGGGACAGGGATAAGGTAGACCACCTCTCCCACTGCTATTATCTATTTCATATGCCAAGGGCCTGTAACTTCAGATTTTATTTGAAGAAAAGGTTCTACTGCTATAAAAAGAAACAAAAATCACCAAGATAATAGAACTACACTATCACATACTGTGACATACAAAACAATCAAGCCACTACTTTGCTACATGAGAATTACAGCTGGCCAATTTTCAATGGCCAGGCTTAGCAGGAGACTTAAAACAGTGTAGAAAACAAATGTAATTTACTGAAACCCTAATTGGAGACAATGGTTTCAAATACATCCATCTTCACTTGCTTGTTTTTTGTTTTTTTTGTGCCCCCCCCCCACAGCTGCAATTAACTAGTAAGGTAGCTGAACAACTAGTGAGGCAGTTAACAGGAAAGCCAAAGTGAAAACAGATCTGAATTACTTGAATCTAGACAATCCACCCTGAGGCCATAATTGGTCAGGCCACCCACATAGGGACAGAAGCCATGGAACTCCTGCTCAGAATGGCAGGGGCTTAAAGTTCAGCATATGCTTCTGGGCTCTGCTTCCTTAGCTCCTTCTTGAATGAGTTAGTCACTCATTGTAGTCCTCATTTTACAGATGAGGAAACTGAGACCCTGTTTAGAAGATGCCAAACTCCTTTTGGGTCTCTGAGGAACCACTCAGATACTCCCAATTCTCCATCAACTGTGGAGGCCTAGTTTTCCTGCATTAATTACAGCTGCAAACACAGCCTGACCTCAGAATGAAACGTTTGTTAATTTCAATTAGTCTGAAAGCCATCCTAGTGAGTGTGAGGCCTACTTCATTAGGATTTTCATTTGCATTACCCCTGTAACTAGCAGGAGTTCCTAGGTGGTGAGAACAGTTAAGCACAAGACTACTAACTGAAAGCTGGCGGCTTGGACCCAACTAGACGAACCTCAAAAGAAGGGTTTGGGGATCTGCTTCTGAAAGGTCACAGCCATGAAAACCCTATGGAGCAGTTCTACTCTGAAACACATAGGGTCATCATTGACTCTGTGGCAACTGGTTTTGGGTACTGGTTATGTCTCTGAATTGTTAATAACATACTGAACAGCAGGCCAGATCCTGCCAGATGCTAGATATAAATGGACATGCAGAGAAATGAGCCTCTCCATAGGAGGAGGATGCTGTATCATCTAGTTTCCAAAGGCAGTAACAGTGGGTGAATCACCAAGCCACTTAATTGCTGTGACTCATAATTTGGATCTTTCTGTTACAAACATAATAGAAAAGGAAGAGTAGTCAGTGATGTGGGAACAGGTGCAACTCACCAGTGCAGAACTCCTTGCTGACGTTGTGGGGCACTGTGATTCTTCGGTAGACAATGGGCTCTGACTCCAGGATGTTCTCATCATGGCGGTACCGAGCAGGCCTTTCATTTGGGACGCCCCGGGAACGAGTACCACTTCTCCTCTCATAAGTGTCAATCTCTTCAAATACAGCTGCCTTGTCAAAAAGGGCCAGGTTCCCTTCAAAATCGAAATCTGTGTCTGGGATCTCCTCGATGTCATCCCCGAAGCACTCGTCATCTTTATTCTTCATCTGGCCATTCTTTAAGCCGCTTTTCTTTGGAGTCGCCTGATTTGGGTGCCTGCTACTAGATGACCCTACAAAGAAACAGGAGCCAAAGTCAGTATGCCCACAAGAAGTGCTCAGTGGAAGCAGAAAATAAAGTACACTAGCCCTGTGTAGTGACTGTTACAGGAAGAAAAGTGAAGGTGGGACAGGTGACCTAGTCCTAAATCATATTAAGTACACAAACTATCACAAATCACACATGGAACAACAGGTTCTAAATATTACTAAGATTCTGGCTCACAATGACCCCTCCTTGGGTTTCTGAGGCAGCATCTCTACGGAAATAGATTGCCCAAACTGGGTTTCCTTCTGAGGAATGCCTGCCAGCCATCCGGTTAGCAGTCAAATTCCGTAGGCACTACGCCACAGCTCCCATTATTTAGTGAATATAAAATAAGCAGTTCCCTGGAAATCTTAACCCCTTCTGCCCTTCATAAGGAAATGTGGAAATGAGAAGATTTTTGACCTATGAATTATCAAAAAAAAGTGAAAAGGCAAGAATATAGCAACCAGTCTCTTCCCACGGATCAGGGTGCTTTGATTTTGAATGTCTGGCAGCTAGTTAAGAGATAAATATCCCCAGAGTAAAAGAAGGCCAAGTCCTCATAACTTGCAGCCTATAAAAAGATACTATTCAACTGGCTCGTAAATCTATGCTTACCAAGCAAGCAATCTTCGGGTTTTAAATCTGGTCTCAGTCTAGACCCCAGCACTAGGGAATCCCTGGTTTAGACAATAAATTCCAGATCTTTAGCCAGATACATATGTCACTATAAATTGGTTTCTTGGCTTATAAATCTGTCCACAGACTTTCTGGTTAATAATGGCTCTTTTCTCAGAATTCTATCACTCCTAGGTAAGCAGATAATATTCCAGTTTCTGAACCATCAAATGATGAACGATTATCAAACATGCCTGTAGAGGGCACATCAAGATGTACATCAACACCAGAGCAGCCAGCTAGCCTCTGTCTCTGAAACTTTGGCCACCACAGATCAGTCATCTACGTCTCCAGTCATCAAGGCTGAGATCCCACAGAAATCTCCAAGTCATCCTCCCAGGGAATCCTAAATTGACTTTATATGCTGGTTCCCAACGGACCACCTTGGAAGAGGAGACCAGGTGACTAGTATGCCAATGAACTAATATGTTTCAATAAATGTCATGTACTTCCTTTTGAGATAATGAACTCCTTAACTGAGAACACTCAAGTGGAAGTTAGAATGATTATGAGTAAACCCCCACACTTATACCATCTCAATTAGATTTTTCTAACTCTTCTTACAGCAATATCCTTCAACTCATCATTCTTGTCAAGGTCCACCAATAACAACCAAAAAAAAAACCTCACTGCCGTCAAGTCGGATCTGACTCACAGCACCCCCTCCTTGGGTTTCCGAGGCAGTATCACTACGGAAGTAGATTGCCCAATTTTCCTTCCAAGGAGTGGCTGCTGGGTTTGAACTGCCAGCCTCTGGTTAGCACTCAAATGCCTTAGGCACTATGCCACCAGAGCTTCCCAATAACAACAATAACATTATCACTAAATCCACAACATCTTTTTTAAAAAACAGAATTGACTATCACTCCTTGAAACACTCCTCTTTTAGAGTGTTCTCATTTTCCTCTTCAACTCTATGACCACTCCTACTTCCCTGCCCAACCTCTAAATATTCAGTGAACATAACCTTTTTTTGCTTACTCACTGATCTGCACTGAACACGTTCCCTTGTTACCCTACCGAG